GCCGATTTGTGTTTCCTGGACGCCAACGGCAGGGTGGGTAACCTGCCTTCGGGCGCCGTCGGGAGTGCCGGCTTTGTTCAAAAACAGGATGAAGGGGGAGAGCACCTACATACTTTCCTGCTCGCCTCCGAGCACAAAGCGGTTAACGCGTGGCTTGGTAGTCCAGACGACTGGACTTGGCAGTCGCCACAGGGGTTGAGGCATCGGATCGACTATGTCTCAGCGAAGACATGGCTTGCCAACCACGCCCTCACATCCGACGCGTATCACGACATTGATAAGCTTACGACACATGTTGACCACCAGCCTGTGATCGCTACTTTTGCTTGGCAGGCCGTTCAGGTCCGCCAAATTTCGCCAGGAAAGAAGCTCGACCGAGAGGCTTTCAAGGACCCTCAGAAGCTCGGGGTTTTCAAGGAAGAACTTCGAGGGCTCTCTGTTGTCCCCTGGCTGGTCCCTGTCTCCGAGCATCATGTTTGTGTGTCCACGGGGGTCATGAGGGCAGCGGCGAAGGCCTTTGGAGTCGCCCCTCGCCGACCTAGACAGCCGTATGTTTCACAGGCCTCGGTTGACCTGATCACCGCTCGTCGGGGGGCCACCAGAGTCTTAAAAAAAGTTGCCCCCTTTCTGGATCAGCAAGGGCCCGTGTGTGGCGACGTGCTTTCCCACTTTTGCGGCCGCTGGTTATCGGGGGATATCCTTGGGCTTGCCATGCAAGAGGGGGCGCAATTCTGGAGGCCCCACTATGATCTTCTGGCCCAGGTGTTCCAAGGGTGGGCCTCTGGTAGGCTATGTTGTTATGCCATGGTCTTCGGGCTCCAGCGTTTTCTGATAGATACTGAGCAGCTTGTGGCCAATGCTTTGGAGCAAGACAGGTGCAATCACCTGGAGGCCCAGGCTGACACGATCGTTGAAGCAAGGGATTTTGGGCTTCCTCGCTCGGAGTGGTCGAAGACCAAGGTTTTGATGCAGTTTGGAGGTCGCCCTCCGAAGATTCCCACCACTTTTCCCTATTCGACCACCGAAGACGGGACGGCGCTCTGTACGGAATCCGACGTGGCCAACAACCTTCAGCAGCACTTTGCCAAAGTTGAGTGTGGCAAGTTCGCGGATGCTGAAGGGATCCGAAGCCACTATAATGACATGCTCCCACTCCTTCCTGATGAGGCTCCTCGGGACCTGGAGCTCTTTGTCTCGAAGGTTGGGTTGTTATCTTTGATGAGGGGTATCCAAGGGGGGAGGGCCCCTGGCCCTGATGGCTTTCCCCCCGACCTGCTCAAGCTTGCCCCCCTCGAGCTTGTGGAAGTCATTCGCCCCCTCTTGACCAAGGTCACCATGACCTCTAGAGAACCCCTGGCCTTTAAAGACGGGCGCGTTGGCACATTCTTCAAGGGGAAAGGCGTGATTGCCTTGGCCGCCAACCAGCGCAGCATTTTGATGACGAGCACGATTAGTAAGATCCATCACCGGCATCTCAGAAGGCTCTCCCTAGACTATCTGTATGCGGCGCTGTTGGCCCAGCAATGTGGGGGGTTACCTGGTAGATCGTGCGACACTGCCGCGCATTTTGTCAAGGCCTTCTGGGCGGCTACCGAAGCGCGGGGGGTTTCGTGCGGGTCCCTGTTTTGTGATCTTACGGCGGCTTTCTACTCCACTATTCGGCAGCTGGTGTATGATTTACCAGGTGAGGGGGAGATGCTCAGTGAAGTCTTGGAAGCACTCCCTGTGCCTCCAATTTTGGCTGCTGGAGTTCGTGCTCAGTTGCTCTCTGGCCCCATCTTTGATCAGACCATCGAGAAGCCCCATCTCGTCGCCTTACGTCGGGAGGCCCAGAGGGGGGCGTTCTGGGCTGTGGGAGGTGCTGATGGATATGTCATTCCCCGCACTGGTTGCCGCCCCGGCACTGTGATGGCGACTGACGTGTTTAACGTGTCTTTCGCTAGTGTTCAAGCGGAGATTGAAGCTGAGATGGAAATGAGAGAGATTCGTTGGCTTCCCACCCCCACTGTGCGAGTTTTCTCCTCGGCTGTTGACCCCGATGAAGTGTGTGCTTCAGTCTCGTTTGTCGACGACCTCACCCCATCCGTGGCCTCTCCCGAGCCAGCAGAACTCCTGCAGATGTTAAGTGAACTTATCGATATTGTTTTCGCAGTTTGTGCCCGGCATGGGCTGGCCTTGAACCCTAACAAGACCAAGATTATGTTGAGATTTCGAGGAGGGGGCTCACAGGCTGCCCATCGGGAGGTGTTCGATCGGCCTGAGCCCTTCTTAGTCTCCCCCCAGTGGAAAGTCAAGGTCGCCGTCGTGCGTTCCCACAAGTGCCTGGGGGTAATTCTGGCTGACACTGGATCTGAAGGGTTGGAGATTTCTGCGCGTTCCATGTCTGCTAGGGCCGCTGTCAGGCCCATCAAGGCTACCGTCGCTCCTCGCTTGTCCCTTCCCCTCCGTGCCAAACTCTTGTACACGGAAGCCTTCGGATCCAGCAGATGCTTCTATGCCTCGTGTTTGTGGCGCCCCATGCCGCAGGCCGTTCAATCTAGAGTGCGGTGTTGCCGCGAGTTTTTGTATCGTTGTGCGCTTGGACTTCCTGCCAGCAACTCGCCTGAGCACCATCTTTCGTACTGGGATGTTTTAGCTCGTGCCGATCGGCTTCCCTGGGATGCTGTTGTTCATGTCTCCAGGCTTCGTTTCTTGGTTCGGATGTTCAAGTTTGCGCCGCGATATTTGTTGACCCTTCTTGACGTTTCCCTCCTGCATCGAAGGAGCTGGGCCTCGGCGCTGGCCTCGAGTTTCGATTGGTTAGTTTCCTTCCTGGAACCCGATTCGGTCCCTGGGACGGGGGGGCTTGATGAGTGGCTGGCCGCACTTCAGATGGACCCCCAGCGTTTTCGGGCCACGATTAAAACTGTCATCCTGAGAGCTAGAGAGTGGTGGAGTGACCGACACCTGCTCCACCTGTGGGACATCAGGGTGCGCAAGGCGCTCGTTGGCACGCCCTTGGACGTGGACCCAGTGGTTGAGGGGGCGTCCTACATGTGCTACGAGTGCGGCCAGCTTTTCAAGACTGAGCGCGCCTTGCGCGCTCACAGGGGGAAGCAGCGCCCCATCCCCGTCTCCCCAGCCATGATGGCCGTTGGTACCTGCTGCTCTATCTGTGGGTGGGATTACCGTTCCAACGGGAGGTTGTACAAACACTTAGCGAGGTCCACGAGTTGTTTTCGTGGCCTTGTGGCCTGTGGTGCGCGTCCCACTCAGTGTGAGATTGATGAGGCTCGGGCAACCCGGCGTTGTGAGCAGCAGGCCAACAGGGCCAAGGGTTTAACTGATGATTTCGCCCATCTGCCCAGGGTTCGCATGATTGGCCCTGTCAGAGGGGTTCGAGTTTTGGATGTGGTGCCCATCGTGGCCGAGCCTGTGGCCCCTCCCCCGCCCCCCCCTGTCCTTCTTTTTCTCCTGCTCCGCCCCCTGCTCGCCCTTTCCGTTTTCTTCTCCATCTCTTCTCGGGCCAGCGTCGGGCGGACGACGTGCAGGAGTGGATCGAGAGGCTAGTCGCTCAGTATCCCACCCCGGTTGTTGTGCTCTCTATTGACATTACTAACAGTCCTAAGTTCGGTGATTTGAGTGATGTTTCCACGGTTGCCTATTGGTTGCGCCTTATGGAGCAGGGGTGGGTGGCTGGGGTCATTGCAGGGCCCCCTTGTGAGACTTGGAGTGCTGCTCGCCATAATCCTGTACCCCCCGATGCTGTCGGGCCTCACCCTCGGCCACTGAGGGCGCCTAGTGAGCTCTGGGGGTTGAAGTATATCACACCTCGGGAACGAAAGCAGGTCGGGGTGGGGAATGCCTTGTTGAGAACCACCATTGAGTTTTTGATTTCTGCTTGGAAGCTCGGGCTCCCAGCGATCATGGAGCACCCTGCCCCGGCCGAACACCGACCTAATGTCCCCAGTAGTTGGCATCTCCCTATTCTTGCCAAGTTGGCCCGCCAGATGGGGGTAACACTGCACAGGATAGATCAATGTATGTTCGGGCAGAGTGCGAAGAAACCTACGTCCTTGCTGGGTGTTCATATCCCCATGCTCAATCAGTTGATAAACGAGTTGCCGCACCATGGGAGATGCCAACATAGTGCCCACGGCCAGGTCCTTCAGGGCCGAGATGCTTCAGGGGCGTGGCATACTGCGCGGGCCAAAACCTATCCCTCGGAAATGTGTTGTTTGCTGGCCAAGAGTATTTATGTTGCCATCCAGGCCCAGTTCGGGCCCGATCCTGGACCGCCGCCTTGGGACCTCGGGGTGGAGTTTGAGCCCTTCTTTGTGCCCCTGGACCCTTTCTTTGATTTCAGGCGTGGTCGTGATTTCGCCCAAGTGACACCACCATCCCCCTCTTGACAAGTACAAGGTGTGCGCGGCACCGTTAACTCTCGCAGTGCCCTCGGGGAAGGTTTGTGCTTGACTGTTTTTGACACCTGGGGTGTGCGCGGCACCTTAACTCGCAGACCAGGCTTGTCTGTTTAAGCTGGAGGTGTGCGCGGCACTGTAACTCGCAGTCGTCAGGTGAAGGCATCTTTTTCGATCCTCAGGCTGGGGGTCAGTAACCTGATGAATGGCCAGCCCGTCCCAGACGTTATGTTGGTGGCGCCCTCCCCCAGTGGCGTTACTCACTAAGTTGCCGTACGCCTGGGATGTTCTACTCGCCCACGTCAGGACCAGGGCTTTTAAAGTGGCCTTGATAAGGAGGTGGGATCGAGCTTTGGACTTAACTGGGGGGG